TCTTACTGGAAATATTAACACAATTCCTTCAATATATATATATATATGGGCTATTCCATTTTTAACTTGTTACACGTACAACAATTTTTCAAATATATGCCTATTTAAACTGTAAATTAAACTTTCAGCAGTTTTGTATGAAAGCTGTTAGTCTAAAGCATAAAATAAGCTATAACGTTTTGAGCCTGGCTAAAAGAAGGCAAACTTATTACTGAAAATCCCACTTAACTTATGTTTCATGGAAAACAAGGTAAAAAAAAATGCTTTAACTTTTAGGTCAGATTTCTATGAATCAGTAAAGTGGTTTGTATTAGAAGATTCACAAGATGTTAAGAATTCTATGCCAATTAAAAAAATATATAAAATTTTATCAGATGTGACCGGCTAAAATAAATAAACTTGTTTTTTTATTACTATTTATTTAACTTATGCTACATCACTTACGTTACCGAGCAATATTTATTGTGATATTATTCAGGGTTAGAGTTAGATAACAAAAAAATTGCAAAAGTATTGAACTCATTCATTAAAAATAATTAACAAAGTAAACTTTAAAAAACTGGCGACACTCTTCCTGAATAATTTTTCATAATATTTATCAAAGTTATCTAATGGAAAACAATTTTTAGTATTTTTTTCCATTGTGCACATTGTACTATTGCCTCCCAAGTGTTCCCTCAATTTCATAAGTAAGTGCTGCATTTCTAGTGTTTTGAATTTTTCTGAGATCACTATCAAATAATATCTTATTTTTTTGTTTTATTTTTGTTAATAAGAATATTTTTGTAATTGATATAATCCTTTAACTTTTTGGAATTCTTTTTCATAAAACTTTGTTTCTTCATTTTTAAATTCAACTAAAATGAGGTCAGGTGGTCCTTTTGGTTTTTTGGTATGTTTTGTTAGTCAAACTACACTTTTTTTATTTTTTTATTGAAAAGTCAGGCTTAATTACCTTTAGTATAGCTTCAATGGTTCGTTTATCATTTTCTTCATTCATTTGTTTGTCCATATTTGTTTGATCAGCAACTTCACTTATAACAATATTGTTTTAAATTCTTTTTTTGTCATTAAATTTATAAGTTATTTTAGTCATCTTTAACACTTTTGGTTTTGTTTTAATTTTCTGAATTGATGCTGCGTATGAGAATATTGTTGTGGGTTTATTTGCTGTTACTGTTGTTGAGGCATTTATTTTTTTAACTTCAAGAGTTTTAATCTGCTTTAATTGATCTGAAACAATTAATGATATTTTGTTACACCATTTGTGCATTTCGACCAATTTGGCTCTTCTAGGCATTGATAATCAAATTCCATTTATTTTGAGAGGGCTAACACTCTGTATACCAGTTGAGAATCTCCTTATTATATATTTTAACTTTTTTAAACACAGTAAAAAACAATAAGTTTATATGTGCTTTCTTCTGTGTGTGTATATATATATATATATATATATATATATATATATATATATATATACTATATATATATATATATATATATATATATATATATATATATATATATATATATATATATATATATATATATATATATATATATATATTCTAATTTCTTATCAATTTCCTTAGCTATCTTTTTTAGCTTTTTAATTTTTCTTTATTTAGGGGTATCAGTTAAGATGTAAGCCTGCCTCAGGGAATACTTGATTCTGGGATCAAGTATTCCCTCTTTTAAAGAATAAACTAATCCTATGTTGACATCTTTTTTGAAAAACTCAAGTTTAGGCTAAAAAAGTTATTATTTGAATATCAATGTTGTGGTGTTAAATGGGCAAAAATACGATTCGGGTTGCCAGATGCCCTGCTTTTTTGTAGGACAATACAATGCCAAAGTTCAAAAATATAGAATTTTACTGCGTTCTCCTTCATAATAGCTGGACATCTGGCAATCCTACATATGTTTCACCTATTGGGCAGCATAATTATAAATTAAATGAGCTGATGTTGTTATCCCTTACCTCCAATGCATAAAAGAAAATGTTAATAAAATATCCTTATTAAAATGTAAAGCATTTTCTGAATTTTGTTAAGAAGCATTTGTTAAGAAAAAGTAGGGCGCCAATAGAACAGTGATAAAATATCACCAGGCACTAAACTTGCATAGGAATCAAGTTCAGAAATTTAAGGTTTAAATTTACTATCAGATTACTACATCTGTATCACTAACACATTTTAAATAATTTTTTTTTTTTTTGCGTAATTACTTTCAGTAATTTTAGTATTAATTAAAAACATCAACAAACGAGTCAAAATATTTTTATTAACTAAACTTATGATTAAAACAGTTGAAAAAAAAAAAAAAGTCTGCACAACAATCTACCAAATTCTTCTGCATAGTTACTTTCAATATCTTTGAATCTATTAATCTGCACACAGTTCCGTCCCATTGAGAAATTTTGGAGAATTGGCAAAGGATATTTGTGTATGAGTGGCAAAACAATAAAAACAGCTAAAGATTTTATTAGAGAGTTAACATTAGTAGGGAAAAAAATTGTAAAAAACACTGTGCAGAAGTTGATGTCGTCAATTAGCATAAATATTCGCTATTCAAAATAATTAAAAATATTAAAATAAAAAGCACTTTTATAATCTTCAAGTTCTTAGATTAAAATAAATATTGAAGTTTTTGCATTAGTTGAACTATTTCTTTTTTTTTTTTTGAATTTTTCATCATTTTGAATTTAACGATTGCATGTTTTTTATGTTTTATTTGTGGGCACGAGACACACAAAAGAGATCTTTTAAACGTCTTTAGAAAGTTTTGGATGCCTTATGAACTTTTTGGACGTCTTTGGGACTTTCAAAAGACATCTTTTTTAGGTAAATGCCCCTTGGGTAGAATTAGAATTAAAATGCAGACTAAAAACTCTAGTTTTGGGTAAATAATATATAGAAAAAAGTGTTAGTTTACCCAAAGCATTTTTCTTTTCAAAAGGTAATATCCGGTAGTTGAGTAGAGTAGTGATAGTAATACAATAACCATTATCATAAGAGTTGGTTAAAACTAATTGCTGTAGTTAGTAAAGTTATGGGTTGGCAAATGTGATCAAAAAAATTTCCAAAACTTACGATTTTTGTTTATAAAGTTCGGAAGCCGAGCCGGGAGCCGGGAGCCTGCTAATGATTTTTTATAAAAATAATAATAAATAATATATATATATATATATATATATATATATATATATATATATATATATATTATAATAAAATAAAATTTTGTTTTATTTTATTATAATATATATGTGTGTTGTGACATTGTCTTTTTTATTTTATTATAATATATATATACATATATATATATATATATATATATATATATATATATTTATATATACAAATTTTCAAAACATTTACAGCCGTGGTCAAGTTTTTAAAATTAAATAGTATTTGCATAGTCATATTATAAGGTGGAAACGCATACCTTCCTGGCCAAGCCTGCATGCATACATACATACATACATACATACATACATACATACATACATACATACATACATACATACATACATACATACATACATACATACATACATACATACATACATACATACATACATACATACATCCATGCATACATACATACATACATACATACATACATACATACATACATACATACATACATACATACATACATACATACATACATACATACATACATACATACATACATACATACATACATACATACATACATACATACATACATACATACATACATACATACATACACATACATACTTTATTACCAGTGTTTCACAGGAAGACATGCAATTACATGCCCTTATATGACCAGGCAAATCACATTTTACTTTTATGATTTGACCTCACTTATTTCAAAAAACTTTTCAAAAATGGGCTGAATAAAAATATTCTGAATTATACCTTAGGTAAAATAAATTACATCGAAACATCTTAACAAACTTTGATATATTGGCGAAATGCTTTTACATAAAGTAACAATTTACTGATAATGATTTTTTCAAAAGTATTATTGACAGTTGTATATAATTTAAGTATGCATTTTTTATAATATGTTGTTAAAATGTTATTAAAAAATAAAAAACTATTTTATTTTTATAAACGTTTACTTTCTAAGACAACGATTGTCTTTTTAACAAACTATAATATAAGAATCATTGAAGTTATAAACTGTTTTTGTTTTTTTATTTGTATTTATATGTGTTTTTATGATAAATGTTAATATTTTGAAACAAATTTAACTAAAAAAACATAGTACAAATGTTAAAACAAAGAATGAAATGGTTTTTTAATGTGTAATTATTTAGTAATTTACATTTACATGGAAACTGATATTTAAACAATCATTAAAAGTAAATTGTTCTTTTTATCTTAAGGGTTTCTGATAATATTATATAAACATTAATAAAGATAAAAAAATTATTCTGAACATAATTAAAAACATGATTCAAATAAACTAAGCATTTTAGTTTGTTGAGTTTTGTTTTAGTTGGATTTTTTTTATTTTCCCTTCAGTTAAGATTTATTTTGCTTTTTTAAAGTAATTTTTTTTCAGATAAGTTTGAGTAAATTTTTTTAGCGCATTTTTAAATTTTGAAAACATGTTAAAAGCCATGGTCAAATTGTCAAAACAAAGTTTTTTTTCCATGGTCATATAATTGCGTTCGATTGCACGCCTTTCTGTAAAACACTGCATACATACATACATACATACATACATACATACATACATACATACATACATACATACATACATACATACATACATACATACATACATACATACATACATACATACATACATACATACAAAACTATTTAATTTTAATATGTAACTTATAAACTTAAATTACTCAAGATTTTTTTAAATAATTGTCTAATAAAATAACTAAATTTTTAATAAGGTTTTTAAAAATTTAAGAAATTTTATTAAGCTCAACAATAAAGTAATACTAAAAATTATTTGTAAAATATTCAATAAAAATATATTACTACATTCTGATATTTTTCCTGTTGCATTAGAGCATTCTTGTACATCTTCTGAATTAACTAAAATATAACAAATATATTGTTAATACAGAATAATGTTATTTTTGTACAACACAATTAAAAATAATTTTGTTTACTGGTAACATAACATATAAATAACAACCTTGTCAATATTTTAAAACAGTTATAATGTTATTGCTGTTTTGTGTTGTACTATTATTAATTTTTATATTTTCAGCATAGTAATAATATTCTAGCATAATGAGTTCCTAGCATTTTAGCATAAACGTTCCTATAATGCGAAAACATTTTTGATAATAAGAAAATAAAAACAAACATTTTTTATGAATTCTAGACGTCCGCAAGGCATATCAAATTTGTGTAAGTGCATACCGGCACCTTTTAAAATATCACAGCTATTAATTAAAACTAACACAAATCAAATGAAGTTATGTGAAATTTAGTAAAAAAATAGTAAAAAAAACTTGAAATATAAAAAAAAACTAATTTTATAGTATCAAATATTCTATATAGTATAAAATAAAAGTTATAAAGAAATATAATCATGCAAAATTCAAAAGAAAAATCAAGTTTTAAATTATTATTTAAAAAATTCAAAAATCTTAATACTTGAATAATTTTGTCAATTTAATTGATTTAAACTTAGATTGCTAAATTAAATTAAAAAAGTCATACTTAAATACAATTCTTTGAGGTCTAGTACCAAAGTTTTATTTAATTTGTCATTATAAAAATTCTCAAACAATTTTGATTAGGTATTGATGCGGTAGTGGTGTAGTGGTAGAGCGCTCGCTTCATAAACAAGTGGTTCTGAGTTCGATCCCCACCACGTCCCTGGTAGTACCGCGCTCAACTCGTTTCTCCGCGCAGCGGCCTTGTTCGTCAAGGTTCGTGTTTCGGAGTTATAGAGTTGAGAGAGGGTTATAGCCACAAATAAGTAGCCTCCTCGTCTGTAGTGGCCTTCTCGGCCTTGAGGAGGTGAATTAAAATAAAAAAAAAAATTAAAAAAAAAAAAAAATAGTTGTGTAATTACTGATAAAATGTAAAAAAGACTAATGATTTATTATGAGGTAAAAGGATGAGGTAAAATTTGAACAAATTCAATCTCATGAAAAAAAGATTGTACCACCTAAAAAAAGCATGTTGGTGCTTTTGAGTTTTATTTAAGTTTTTGATAACTAGTAAAAATTCCTATCATTTTTTTTTTCAAAATAAAAGAGTAAAGCAGGGCAATCAAATTATGTCTTGAATTTAAACTTTGAATTGATTTGTAAAAACTTTTTACAAAGTTTGTAAGATAACAATAGTTATTGATTTTTTCTATTAAAATGTCTAATTTAATAAAGTTTAATTTATAAGATTTTTTTTTCCATGGTCCAGTAAACAAAGAGTTAAATACCTGTTAACTGCCTTTTTTTTAAAAAAGGACTGCTTATTGGTTGTTTTTTTTTAAAAAAGGACTGCTTTTTGGCAACCATTACTATAATCTTTATTATTACAATCAAAAAACCTAGATAAAAAAATGCTTAGATAGCAATTTATTTTTATTCATTAACTGAATTACTATTCTCATCCAAAATAAATTTATTGTTAATGGCCTTGTATAACAGATGGGCATTTCCAAAAAATCACGCACGGAAATTCGTTTATGTTTTTACTTTTATTTTCATAAAAATGAAACTAGCGATCTCCAATTTACTCTCATTTAATTATAATCAATATAAATATTTTGTAAACAAAAAATAGTAAGCATTAGTAATGTTAACAAAGAATAAATAAAGTTTGAAATGGAATCACGCATGGAACAGAAAAACTTCTATTTTAGTTACTAGATAAATAAACTTTAATTCCTCGGAAAATATAAGTTTCACCAGTATACTTTTTTTTTTAATAATATTTTAAACATTAGTAAAGATTTCCAGAAAGTTACAGGATTGCACTATGAATCATAGTCACAGCAATTGTTTAAATACAGTTTATGAATGATCACGCACGGAAGTCACGCACGGATGTTGCGAATTTGTCAATTTCATGAAGTTATTTTTATGAAATAAATTGCTTGTGAGTATTTCAAGTGAAATATTATACTTTATGACTCTTATTTAATATATTTTTGATGAGAAATGGCAGTCATCAATTATTTCTAGCTAGAGTATTGCGTTTTGAAAGTTATTGTATATTTTTTAAAATCTAGCGATATTATTACTCAAAAAAATAAAATTGTAAAATTGTGTATATTTAATTTATTCAGATAGTCTAAAATATGATAAAAATATTTTTGTTATAATTGTTCTTTAAGAAAATCAAAATAGTATGCATATTGCATAAAGTCCCAGCTTTTAATTGCTAAAACAAAGAAAAATAAAAAATCACGCACAGAAATGGAAATGACCAGATATATTATTAATTACCAATAATGGACTTGTATAATTCTATTCCTTCATATATTTTATGTATACTACTATGACTGCTATGACTCATACCCCAATATATATATATATATATATATATATATATATATATATATATATATATATATATATATATATATATATATATATATATATATATATGTATATATATATATATATATATATATATATATATATATATATATATATATATATATATATATATACACATATATATATAAAACTTATATTATATTACTGCCACTGATGTTGTTTAATACTACTACTCACTGAAATAAAACTAAATTTAATATACTTTTTTTTAACATCTTCATTTCCAACAAGGCTGCAAACAACCACTATAAGAGTTGGAAGTTACTAAAAGGAAAAGATAAAGATTGTAGAGCAAGATAACGATTGACAGACAACTTAAAAGATTGCAAATTATATGAATTAGGAAAGCAAGATGAAGGAAGCGAATTCCAAAGAACTGATGTTTGAGAAAAAAAACTAGGCGAATAAGAGTTTTTGGAGCACTTAGGAACAGTAACAGAAAAAGGATGAGACTTAATTGAACGACGAGTAACACAAGAATAAATTTTAGTAGATGGCACAAGAGATGCTAGCTCTTTAGACCAGTGCCCATTATAGTATTTGTAGAAAAGATAAATAGAAGCAACATTACAATGATGTGACAGAGGTTGAAGATTGGCTGCAAAAGCAGGTACCAACTATGTTTACAATGCATTTTTCCACCTTGTCTAAAAGAGAAAGGGCATCATCAGAAGATCCATTCCAGATACGGCAACAGTATCCCATACAAGGCCGGATTTGAGATTTATAGAGATAGAGAATAGAATCCAGAGTAAGAAAGTGACGAGCTCAATAAAGAGAAGCGACTTTAGCAGATGCTAATTTTGCAACGGATTTGATATAAGGTTTCCAAGAAAGATCAGAAGTAAGAGTTAATCCTAGAAGATGAAGGGTACGAGTACATTACCGTTAATAAAAAGAGGAAGGTCTAAATTATTGCGATAACGATTGGCTGAAAAAAATTGAGTTTTATCTGAATTAAAGTTCACCAGCCACTGTGAGCCCCATGCTGTAGCAGAAGTGAGATCCTTTTCAAGCTCAGATGCCCCCTGCAAGCAATCAGAAGGAGTTGACTTCTTATCGTGACAAGAATAAGTGGTAGTATTATCAGCGAACAATGCCACCTTAGATGTGAGAATATCTGAAAGATGGTAAATGTAAATTAAAAAGAGTTTAGGGCCAAGGATTAAACCTTGAGGAACCCCTGAGGTTACAGAATTAAAAAAATAGTGCTGTCCATCAAGGACAACTTTTACTACGATTGGAAAGAAAGGATTCAATATCTAAAAGATGTTTCCAGATACACCGTAAGAAGAAAGCTTATGGAGAAGACCAGCATGCCAAACTTTATCAAACGCTTTAGAAATGTCAAGAGCAATGGCCTTAACATCTCCACCTTTATCTAATGCACGATAAAACCTATCGGTTATTACTGTTAACAAATCAGCCGTAGAACGAGAAGATCGAAATATATATTGATGATCAGAAAGTAGGTTATGAGATTCAAGATGAGAGATTAAGTGTTTGTTAATTAAAGATTCAAAAACCATGCTTATGATAGGAAGAAGACTAATGAGACGGTAGTTAGATGAATCGGATCGCTCTCCAGAATTTTCAAAAATAGGGATAACAGATGCTGAATTTTTAAAAATAGGGATAACAGATGCTGCTTTCCAGCAGGCTGGAAAACAAGACTCTGATAAGCACTTGTTAAATAGTTTAGAAAGGATAGACAAAAGCTCCGGAGAACACTTCTGCAAGACTATAATAGATATGTTGTCCGGGCCGCAAGCTGTAAAAGGTTCTAAGCAGGAAATCACTTTAGATACAGAAGCAAGAAGAAGAAGAAGAAGAAGGAGTTATATGGATGTCGAGCAATGGATCAACCTGTTTGACAGCTATATCAGGTAGAACACAACGAGTGGAGTCAAGAGATAATATTGATGAAAAGTTCTTAGCAAACAATTCAGCTTTGTCTTTAGGTGAGGTGACAAAGTCTGAACCCTACAAAAGAAGTGGAATTACAGACTTGCCCTTATTATTGATACTATTAAAGATTCTCCAGAAGTCGTGAGAGCCTAACTTTTTTGATGAAATACTAGATTTCATGATCTGAGAATAGCGGGCTTTGGCGTTAGACAAAATTTTTATACAATGGCTCCTAGCAGTAATAAACAGACGTCTGTTTTCTGGAGAATTGTTTTGCTGATAGATATGGAAGTAATGGTTTCGATTGGCAATTGCAGCAGCACAATGCGAGGAAAACCATGGAGAAGAGTGAGGCTTGACCTGGAATCATCAAGAGGGAATAAAAGATTCCATGCCAGCCTGAATCCACGAAGTTATGTAAGAAGCACATTTATCAATAGGAAGCCGAAAAATTTCTACCCAGGGGCCATCACGAAGAAAATCATGGAAAGAGTCCCAGTCAGCTTTAAGGTAGTTGTAAGATGTACGATGATAGGGGGATTCTGATGATAAAGAAGAATAAGATAATAGTTTTAGAGAGACCAAACCATAATTGGAGGCACCTAA